TGCTCAGATATGGCTGAATGTTTACACCACTGCCAGATGTGTAGAGTTGTCAGTCTGGCTGTAGCTGTGTTCTCTGGTCCTGATATACACAGACAGACACACATGCGGTCTCAGGCTGAAGTGATGAAATGATCAAATTGGCCGAGCGTTGGTTGCCCTCCTTTGGTTCTTTACCTCTGAGATCATGCTGTACTTTCTCTCTAGCTGTGAAACACACACACACATGCCCTCACCATGCTGCCTTACTTCCTTAGACTGTCCTCTGAGTGTAGATGCTGGGGGTCAACTCAGCATGACTGGAGGCCTCTCTTTGAAGTGGAGTATGAGCTCACCAAGAAAAAGGGGATGAGAGAGAAAGAGAGAGAGAGAGGAGGGAGTAGAAAAGTGAGAAAGAGAGAACGGGAGTAGAAAAGTCAGAAAGAGAGAGGGGAGAGAGAAAGTGAGAAAGAAAGAGAGAAGGGAGTAGAAAAGTGAGAAAGAGAGGGGGGAGAGAGGGGGAGAAAGATAAATGAAGAGGAGCTAGAAAAGAAAGGAGAAAAAGAGAGTGAGAGAGGAAGTAGGAGAGAAAAAAGAGAAAAGGGGAGAAAATAGAGAGGAAGAGAGATAGGGAGAAAAAGAGAGATGAAGAGGACAGAGAGACATGTGAGAAGAGGAAGAGAGAGAAAGGGGGGAAAAGAGAGAGTGCGAAAAGAGTGAGAGACAAAGGGGAGCAAAAGAGAGAGAAACCCTTCGCACTCCTACCCCCTGACCCTTATCAAACCTCTAAGTGAAATATGTCCTGTTGATCTCTTTCTGACCATTATTTTATTTATTAGTGTTATTTTATAATATTGTTGTTATTCAAGTGGAATGAATTGAGAGAGAGAGAGAGAGAGAGAGAGAGAGAGAGAGAGAGCAGGTGTTAACCCCAGAGTACATGACTTCAGGCAGTGCTGGTTTACTCTTGAGCCCCTTGCTGTATGGTGCTGAGCAGGTCAACCCCTGGGTTCATCTGTGCTCTCCTCTCACCTCTCACTCTCTGCTGCTAATGAGAGGAGGATATTGATCCACCCTGCAGACTCGCAGGCAGGTAGATCATATCCTGAGCCCTCTGTACATTAACAATAGAAAGGTATGGCAGTGCAGTCCCGGTGGACTCCCACAGAGCACAGTGATTGGGAGTAGTTAGTGATGATGGAGTAGGGTTGGAAAGGAGTCAGAGAGAGAGGGAGGAAGAGAGGGAGGTGTATATGGCGAGATGGAAGACTGTTCCTAGGTTGTGTTTGGAGTGAATGAATTGTGAGTGATATATCAATGCAAAGACTTAAGACTGAAGTGCTTAGACACACAATTACACACAGTTACTCGACTATACTTATTTACTCAAAAAATAGATTAAAATATGCTTTGTTAATGAATGCATTTATTAGCAGTTTACATGATGCTAATGGATGTTTGAATTCTCAAACATTCTTGCAGTTAGAAACAGAGCCTGATCAATTTACATGCTCTTTTTTCGTGTTTTTGCAGATATTTGTATTTTAAAGGCTTTCTAGTAATATTTTTGATTGACAGCTGATCTGTTATATCGGTTTCGATTATCACAGCAGAGTGGGGAAAGAAATCCAAATAAACTCTCTCTAATCTGTCCCCCGTCCATTGCATTATGCTCAGCGGGCGTTGTGTGGACAGCAATCCAAGTTAATTTGGACAGAAAAAATGGGTTAAAATGCTGAGTGCAGCAGGGTTCACATCTGGGACCGATTGCATTCATACATTCATACAGCAGACCTGTTATTGTACTTTTCTCGTCCCAGTGCCCTGACCTTATTCATGACTGTGCATTTTTGGACAGTGACAGTGGTGCTTGCTCAGACAGAAGCGTTCTTGTCTGGAGCACAAGGCATTCTGGCAGTCAGATCACAAGGCGCCATCATCGTAAGCTGAATGCCAGATCACCAGGGCTGTATGTTTATTGGTTTAATGGGTTCATCTATGCAGATAAATGCTGTGACTTCCCCATAGTCTTGATTTAGGTTGTGACCAAGGCTCAGCACTGTCCTAAGGGAAAGGGCTGAGACCCAAACCTATGTACGGTCTCCCCATGCATGCGGCAGCTTTGGGTTTGATGTGCTTTTTGAACAAATCCCCAGTTCCCCAATGGCTCCAGTGGAATACTCCCGGAGACTTCTGTGGATGCTTAGCGAAATCTTTTCATTTCCGCTGAGCAGACCTCATTTGATCAGGCCGCCCTGGTCTGTGTGTGGTATTCGGTCTTCATTTTCATTAATGTCGGAGGCACGGCAAAGCGAATCTCATTTTAATTTGACATTTCTGCATCTGTTTTCAATTTTGCTGAAGAAGTAGCAGGGAAGTTGTTGGGGGAGCTGATGCTTATCCACGGGTGCTTGAAAGGCTACATGCTGACTGTAGCAAGGTCCATGAGAATTTGTGCATTTGAAGGTCTTTTTTAGCTGCAATTCTACTCTAGTGCTTTCGGATTAGTCATCAAGTTTGTTGAATTTGGCAGTTGGTCTTGAATCCACAGCTTGTTAAGAGAGGAAAAGGGACTGTTAAATGTAAAACTGTTGTGCTAGGTGTTTAAATGGTGCATCTAGTATTCCACTAAACTGAACATCATTTTTGTATCTTTAATTAAGGTTAAGTATGCTCCATCATGAGGAACAAACATGCACACATTCTGCACGTACTGGAGAGCTTTTGCTCTTTTAGCATTAATAACCTTTGAGACGCTTTAAGCTACTCCCTATCTCTCTCTCTCTCAGCAAAGATCCCTCGTTTTCTGCGAAGAGAGGTGGGGAGGAGGAGTGCTGCTTTAATGAGAGCAGGAGGAGGCATAGAGATCCCACTGTGAGCACACACAGAGTTTATAACCACCACATTGCTCTCTGCCATCTTGCTCTGTAGACATATGCCAGAGCACAGCTAGAGGCGCCACACATGCAGGTGTGTTTTTGTACAGCGTGGGGACCTGAGGTCATACATTCGCCCGATATGTATGGTATAAATCTAAGTATAGTATGTTTATGCATAAACCTAAACCTGTCACTAACCTTTACATTAGTTAAGCTAGCTTCTGTAAAAAGCACTTTACAAAGCCAAGCCAGGTGTGTTGGCTTTCACATTGTACATTACTCCTGTTTATCTCTGGTCAGAACATTTTTGTTCAGGAAATGTATAAAAACAAGCACCTGGAAACACACATGATAGGAGAAAAAGAGATGAAGAGAGAGAGAGTATGCCTTAAAAAGCTCTATTGAAGTTCACAGTTGAGAGTGAGTCTCAAAGGGAAGGTCCTTCATGCAGGCCTGTCAAATCCTCCTCAGAAAGCCTCGCTGCAGTGTGAGATGTAGAATCCCTGTGCAGATTTGCGATCATCATTAGACTGTATGCTTCATATTCCTTCTCTGTTTGCTGCTTTCACACATAGCAGCACTTGTCTGGTGTTTCAAATCTCAAAATAGGGGTATCACATTTTTCACTGTCTGGACAACAATGCATGCACTTTGACGAGACTCATATCAAAACTATGTATCTCCATTTTTTTTTTTTGTTTGTTTGATTTGAGCACAGAAGCTTTTTTTTCCTTCATGTGTGCATTTCGTGATGAATAGGCCAATAGTAATGCCACAATTATTTGAAATAAAACCCTGTTACATTAACATAAATTAAAAGTTAAGGACATTTTTGCATGCTCCTGTAAATTTACCCTTTTTTGGAGTTTGAAATTTTTTTTTTACTTATTTGCACATTGACAATGTAAATGTATGTTCAGCTTGATTAAATTCAAGTTCATGTTTAATTTCTTGCTATCCTGTATAAAAAAGTTTAGGACAAAGCAAAAATGTTCTTTTCTTTTGGTGTAAGCTAATGTAAAAGGATTTTATTCCGAAACATTTGGGAGCATTTCTGTTGGCCATTCATCATGAAGAGCAGCCACTGTGCTTAAATCACATAGAAACATAAAAATAGTAAAAAAGAGGTTGTTTTTTTACAACGCTTTGTCTCAGGGGTGGAGCTGCATACAATATAATGAAATCCATGTCATATAACAGTGTCACACAGGTATTCATGTTTATTTCAGTAATACTGTCTGGAAACAGCACTGTTTCTCTTGTTGATTCAGCAGCATTGTCCAAGTTGAAAAAGCAGAAAGAAAGAATGATTTATAAAGCAGAGTAAGGACAGCGTCAGGTAAGGATAACAGAGGGAGATAAAGAGAGCAGGAGGATTCGTTTTTCCTCTCTGCACTCCCAGAACACTTTCCCTTTTACAGAGGTTCAGATGCTGTTACCATTTTTCGGCTTAAAGAAGTGGTGGGAGAGCTGAGCCCGCTGTGCTGTTACAAGGAGCAGAAAGTGGGATCTTATGGCCAATTAAGTGCTTAAAGGCTTGAAGGAATTTGCAGGCAGTCAGGAGTTCAGGTTACTTAGAGAACGCCTCGCTTTGATCTGAGACAGAGGATGGTGGAGGAGACAGGAGCAGCTCCAGGGGCGTGAGAGGAACACTCCAGTAAATGCTGAAGACTCCAAACATGGGGGTCTTTTTTTAAAGATGCATGTGTGTTAATGCAAATACACATCCTGTGTTGTTCATATCGCCTCTTTAAAAATGCTACCTCATCTCAACAGAGCATCTAAGACTAGCTCTGCACTTTAACACTATTTAGTGACAGGACCAGCCGTACTTGTAGCAGAGATTTTTGTTTATGCGTTTATCCTGCTAAATCCTGCTGCTTAGTGCTAAGCCAATTGAGCAGGTCAGCTGCAGTTCATCTGGATTCCCTGTCCTGATGCTGATGTTGATAACTGCAAATTGTCTATAACATTTATGTTAGAATTCCAGTTTTACATGTTGTTGAGCCAGCAGTCTGACTCTGTTTGTGTCTGTTTGGCCTTTAGTTACAAATTTCCAAAGAACTGTTGCCGAGGCAAAATCAGATGTTTAGCAGCCATGAAGCCGTTTCTGAAGTGCATGCTGGTCTGTGTGTCTGTTTGCAGTTCTCCGTGATGAGTTCAGACAGAACCCCAGTGATGTGATGGTGGCAGCGGGTGAACCAGCAGTGATGGAGTGCCAGCCCCCTCGCGGCCATCCAGAGCCCACCATTTCCTGGAAGAAAGACGGCGTCAATGTAGACGACAGAGACGAACGCATAACGGTGAGTCATCGTATGTTTCTGCACAGTACTGTGCAAAAGTCTTAGGCCACATTGTGGGGAAATCACATTTTAAGCCTGCTTAGTTAATCCTGATTAATCAGATCTGCCTTATTTGCTCAAATTTGACCCTGAAGAACAGCATTTGAAAAGCAGTGTTTTAGCTATGAGTGGACAAATTAAGCTTTACTACAAAGTATTTATTACCTTCAGTAGTTCAGTAATATAACTTTCATTGTGTCAACACAGGGTTTACATGAAAATTATGTGATTTCAATCAAAAGTGAGCACAGTTTCCAGACATCCAGTGAGAGCAACAGTGGCAGCATGTTCCAACCAACGAGTTTATTTGTCATATCTAACATATATACAGTCAGTGGTTCCTGATTGTGATCGTAGTCTCTCGCTCTTGCTTATGGAGTTCATGGATTCGTACTGTTCTGCTAGTTTGCTGCTTATTGATTTCCCCTTAGGCCTCCCACAAGCACTCTCCAGCGTAGTCTGCTGAAAGTACTGAGGGCTTCACTTTAAAGTCCATTTATAAAGTGTATTTGAGTGAGAAAGTTGTGTATTCTATCATAGTAAAAGCATGCAAGCAGCTGTGCTTCTGCCTGGACCTACTACAGATGGCTCAAGGTTCAAACTAGGAAAATACATTGGTAGTGTTCAAAAAGTGCTGTTTAAAATTCATCAAGTTGACGCAGGGGTGGTCAACTCTGGTCCTGAAGGGTCGGTGTCCAGCAGTTTCCCTACCAGAGGTTTCCCTATCTAAACACACCCACTTAACCTGCCAATTAACAGACAAGTAATCAGGTGTGTTTGAGTGGAAAATCACCAAAGTGTGCTGGACACTGGCTCTCCAGGATCAGAGTTGTGCATCCCTGCATTACCATGTTATTAATTATTAATAATTAATTTTTTCACATATTCATATAGTGATTTATAAATCCCTGCTTGTGACAGGACTAATTTTTATAGGTGATTTTACTTCTGTCCATATCAGCCATGTGGGTGTTTTTCTCCCTCCTCTATTGAGAAAATCATATGCCGAATTAGACACATCTCAGTGATTTTCACATAGATCACATTGCGTTGGAAGAAAAAGGTTTTTGGCAACTCCTGCTCTCCGTATTTACTCTCCTAGAGAGCATTTCCACATAAAACCCTTCTTCTGTTTTGTTACTCAAAACAATGGATGCTTTGGAAGAGTATCTTAATCATCTACTTGGTCAGTCTGGTAGAACTTTGTCTCCATCCTCTCTAGTCTGAGAAAATAAAGTCTCTCAAGAACACAAGATCTCACAGGCTGATTATACAGGCGATTATTATGCCAGCTACAGGTATAAAGCATTACTTTATATTTACAATGTTATCAACTTATAGTTTTCTATGACCACATATGACACAAACATCCAGATTTGTAGAAGATGCAGCCCACTAGAAATGTCTGAAAGGGATGGGAGCATTTTATCACTGAAAAGACATGTAAAAATTGTATTACAGACATCCTCTTAAACTAATCCAATCCAAATAGGGCTTAAGCAAAAGCACACTTGCAGCCCTGAAAAATAGTTTTACACAGTACTGTATGTATGTGCCTGTATTTTCATTAAGATAATACTGTGAAATGTTTAACATTCTCGCTAAAAGCAGAACTAATGACACACTCCACTTAGCCCATTGTAAATTAGGCCTCCAGGCACTCGTTCCCAAAGAATTACTGATGAATCTTTTTGTGGCTAGATAATCTGTTGCAAACAACTGCAAAGTAAAGTAGCACTTTCATTTAACAGATGTGTAACATCTAGTTTTGAACCATTCGTCAAGCAGAGGAACACTGACTGGGCCTCCATTTCGGAGTGTTTAAGTGGTGTAGTGGTCGACCCTGTCTTTAGGAATGAATGGGACACATTCATCGGCGTGCAGGAACGCAGGGGAATAGAGGTTGGCCTCAGCAACACATCGAGGGCTGAAAAGTTGCTTTGCTGATTAAATGCAGTCTTTGAACCTGGGCAACCAATTAGTTTGTTTTAATTAAGTGTGTGAGTAGCGGAGTCATGGAATCAATCACAGCTCTTTCCTTATTACGAGAGCGAGAGAGAGACCTTGGTGAGTTCAGCACAGCCCCGACAAGATGTAGAGTTCCTTTCATTTATTTATAGGGGATTAAGGAAGAGGTGCTTTGGGGGTTGTTATCTTTAATCAGGCTGCTGGCAGTATGGGGGAAGATTCAGACTCAGCCCTTCGTGGCTAACAAAGGTGGATTTAGAGTAAGCTCAGTGTTCCCAAAGGAGGAAGGTGTTGGAATTTAGGTGCAATTTGCACATCTTCTCTTAATGATTTTTACATAAATACAACCGTGACTACTGGGCTGTGTTTACTGTGCAGTGTGTAGGCCATTTTCATAATGTTAATGCATATTTGTTTTATTTCTGCTAGTCTCCCTTACAGTAATGAATAAAGCTAACTGGATGCACCAATTTATATGCATTATTTGCCACATGCTGTTTTATATTCGTATTCAATCAAAAGACAATTCCACAGATTTCTGTGTAATTAAAGTAGAGAAGCTTGCCAACCCAGACTTCTTTGCAGTGGAAACCAGAGGTCACAGTGTCCACAGTCATATGCAAAAAGTTTAAACACCCCTGGTCAAAATGTTTTGTTGATTCTAAGTGAAAATAAGGTAACACATTCTCGACAGAGAAAACACTTTAATGTGGCTTTTTTTTGCTATTTTAGTGTAGAATTTCTATTTTTGTTTCAGCAGAGTTTAACATATTGGAAAAAATAAAGCATAAATTATAAAATGTGCTATTTTTAACTGCATTTTTTCCCAATATGTTAAACTCAGCACATAAACAGTACATGTGCATTAAAATGTGCAGATTCTCATTTTCACGTAATTTCAACGTAATTGATTGGTGTGCCCAAACTTTTGCATACAACTGAACAACGCCCTGCATGTACCTCTCTGCCTTGAATAAATTTTAAAAAATAAAAAATTTTAGGCAAGAGTCTTATCTCTGATCTATCGTAAAACAATGTTTTAGGCATCCAACAATGTGTTTTTTAAGTTTTCATGTAATAGCTTTCCATGAGCTTTTAGAGCAGGCAGGTCAAACTGGGGACCATCCGAGCCAAAGTGCTGAGGAGATTAGCGTTTACCCTCATCTAATGCTCTGAATTCGGTTAATGAAGGCCTTACTAAATAGCTGATGAGCTGAATCAGGTGTTTTTTTTAATGAGACAGTGAGCTGAAGTCTGCAGTGTTTGGCCCACAAGGACTGGAGCCTGACACGTGTTTTAGAGTCATTAAACTCTTCAGACGTCTGGTTCCTGTCACCACCACTGTGAACAAATCAAACTTTGTAAGTTTCCCTGTAATGGTGCATTTTACATCAAGCCACTCTGTTTGACTTTGTTTACACCTCAACCATTCAATTATGGAGATGTTATTAAACACCATTAGAATTCTCCTTTACGCCTCTTATCAATTAAAAATTCCCTTTATTTATTGTATGTCTTTTAAAAAACTCTTATTACTCGGTAATAACTGTATGTGCACGTGTGAGTGTGCCAAGTGCATTTTATTACACAGCAAGGTGTAAAATCTGCTGTGCACACAAGCACAAGTTTTCACTTGAATAATGTTGTTGCTAGTTCGGTTCAATTATTTGACTCCATAAGCACTTTTACATCATTCCAGCTATGATTTAATGAATGTTTATGAGTGCACTTACATGTACTCACTCAGCATTACAGCTAGGACTCTTTAATGAGAGAAACAGCTGAGGTGGGCTTTAAAAAAAAAACATGACGCTCAAACTGTAGCAGGTCAAAACCCAGCCGATTTACTGGAGAACGTGCCGGAATGCGCCGTGCTGGCCTTGACTGTCCAGGCCCCCCCTGCATTAGAGGGGGATTTGCTCTTTTATTGTGTTCTAGCATGGCGCCTGATAAAAGCGGACACTAAACCACATGGATGCTCACATCTCACACACAGCCGCCCTTCTTTCACCCTCCACTGCTGGTAAAATGTGATGATGCAGTGGGATGCGCTGTGGTGTAGTATGAGCCGAGAGGCCGCAGCGTTTTATTGCGTCTCTTTTTGTGGCGGGACAGAAAATTGCATTCGCACCTGTGCTAAAACAGGCCTCTAGGGATGAGTGATTGAAAGCGTGGGCAATGTTGGAAATCAGAAGACATTGGAGTAGTAATAACACACTCATGAGACTCTGACTCTGTGACTCTGACACAATACAGACACATGGCTCATGAAATGCTCTTGGAGATGTAGCTAGCGAAAGGCTAGAGTGTGCAAACAGTGAAGTGAAGTTTCTTTAAATAAAGATTATTTAAAATGTAGGAATAGGCATGTGTCCATTCATTTAAAAGGAAAAACAGACCCATGCATGTTTTAATGGGTTGGGAAGCCCAAGAATATGAAAACTTATAATATCTGCAGCATCAGCGCTTCGACTCTGTTTGAGCCACATTTCATCTAAAACCAAGCATGTAAAGCATGAGCGAGCGGCTTACGCTTTGAGTCTTCTTTCTGCCAGTTACTGCGAGCAGCATGTCACCAGAAGCATGTACAGAACACACTCCTGCCATGTTTTCATTCACAAGTCAGGAACGGGTGAAAACAAAACCATGGAGGAAACTTTACCATCCGTGCCACATAAATAGTGTATTCATGACACTGTATAATGGTTATTTCACAAAGTAGTTTGTGTACAATCGTATATACATACAAAAAATGAAGTGCATTCATTGCTTGGCAAGTTTTTAGAAAGGTCATTCAGGTTTGAAGGCTAGGCTAGCATAGCCTTTTGGCATGTA